TGTGTGTGTGTGTGTGTGTGTGTGTGTGTGTGTGTGTGTGTGTGTGCATATTTTTCCTCCTCCTGCTGCTTATTCTTTCCTCAATGGGTGGTTAACGTTGATAATTAGTCCGGTTATAGAAAGCATTAGTCGCAGGTAGCAATGGCCAGGTGTTGTCTTGTTTTAGCTGTTGTAGCAATGAAGCAACGGTGAAACTCACTCCCTGCCAAAATTCTCCATTGGGGGTTACTTTATAACATGAAAAGAACATATAATAAAGAGATACGGGAGGTGATTTAAGAATAGCGAAAAAGTGAGTGTATAGTGATAACGAAGGACATGCCCAGTACACTGTGCCGTGGACGTGTTTGGAGGGAGGAGTGGGCAGAAAGGAAACGAATACTCACAAAGATTCTGTGCAATCTTGGGATCGAGCACCTTGAGCTCTTTAATTCTCTTCTTTATGGATTTCTTATCCTCCAGATCCTCCTCTTCTTTTTTGGCTGATGAAGACAGAAACCGTGAATAATTATTAAACACATGAAGGGAATATTTACACAAACGCATGCACTTACTGTATTGCTGACATATGTATGACACACACAGATTTGGATAAAGTCAGATTATGAGATTTACATATTTTTTCCCCCAGAGTTCAGGTACAACACGAAGAAGGGGCGACAGTGACTGGAATGTGGGAACTGTCCAGTTGCTTTTCATTTATTTATCGAGTTAAATAATGTCCTCATTTTAAAGGCGATCAAATATTTGAATTCAACCACAAACATGATTTCCGTTTCTTTTTTTCTTCTTTGTTTGTGTGTTTACATATTTCACTAAATGATTAATGACACAGTCTGCCCTGACAGAATGCCTAGCTGCTAGAGAAGCATGGAGAAAGGGATTATGGGAAAGTGCTGTGATCACACCACTGACAGAGTAAAGTATGGGTGAGCCATGGCGCTTCCATAAACTCAATGCTGCACATAAAGTAATCAGGTTATAGGTGAAGATAAATCTGATCTGGGTCACATGGAGCCAGGTGGGTGGGTTCGTGTGCTATTGGTAGATAGGAGAGGTCTGCATAACAAACAACAAACAAAACAATAAGACACACAGATATGCACATACACAACTCTCTTGAGCCACGGAGTTCATGGTTGGTTTTAATTATTTAAGACACCAGATTAAGAGAACAAAATGTGCATCCCAGGAGTATGCTGGGTAATTGTCTGGTGCTGTAATTAGGGTGTGTATGGTGAGAGGAGAGGCGAGGAGAGGGGTTAATCCACAGGAAAGGTATTTCTACTGTTCCACATGGGCTTGGGTTTTCTTTCAGGGATCCTGTATCTAATTAAAAATTAAAGAGGTATGCTGGGAGCTCCCGCAGAAAAGATTGTTAGCATGTCCGCAAGCACGCACACCCACAGCACAAACCACCAGGCGCAGAAAAGCGGCCACACACCGAGCTATCCTTGAACTTACGTGGCTCCTCGGTCGGTACACTCTCCTCACAGTCTATCGGGGCGCGAGAGAGGGGGGAAGACAGGAAAAGAACAAACAAGGAGGACAACGGGAAATGTGTACGATTGGGAAAAAGGGAAGAGAAGAGAGAATGAAGAGATGAGAATACATTTTCACAAGACTGCACCCGTGCCCACTGCAGCGTGAAACACAGAGAGACTCGAGCGAAGGAAGAGCAAACGCGCTGGAGAAACTAGTTAGTCAGGATGATTAACGAGGTCTAAAAGTGAGAAACAACTCGATCACACAGGAATTGAAGAAAAAGGCAGATTACCTGAACATATAAAAACTAATTTTACTTAAAATCTACAATCCGTCTTGGTCCATAATTAGAAACACATAACACACAGACATGCATGGCATATTTTCAACATTGGTCAAGATCTGAAATGATAAGTCAATAAATCAGCCGGGCTATAGCAATTATTTTGATATTTCAATTATCAGTTTTACTTAAAAATATCAATGTCATAAATGATGGTAAATGTAATATTTTAGGGTTTTGGATATGACAAGAAAATTGAATATGTGACCTTTGGGGAAACTGTGATGGGCAGTCTCAAACAATTCAACTATTAATCTCGAAAGAAACTGTTGGATTCATCAATAATAACTTGTTTTGTTGTTGTTGTTGCAGCCCTAGTCCGAATATAAATGTTTGCAAAGATGTCAGGCAGAAATTTGGGCTAATGCTTATAAAAACAATGCACACAACGCAGCAATAAAAGCAATATCTTGGATGCAGTCACTTTGCAGCTTGTGCCGATACAATAGTAGCCCTTGTATTTTCTACAGCCCTCCACCTGCGTAAACAAGTTCAACAAGAGATGATGCAAGGCACTTTACTGTTCTCTGAAGTATATTGAGTGCACATCAGCACATGCTCAAGAGTACAGAAAAAAATAAAGCAAACCATGTTCAATAATAAGGCATAAAGGAAATCGCGAAGAAAACAAAAAAGTCAAGTTGTCACTATTATGTGCATAAATGACTCAAGTAGTCTTACGGGAAAGTAATCTTGCATTTGATGTTATTGGGTATTACGATGCAATATAAGGAGCCGGCCACTCGAAAAGCCCCCTGCTTACTGCATTAAGATGTCGTATTGATCTACTCATCATAAGTTATAGCTTCGCAGAATCTCATTTATTCCTCCCTCTCCCTCTCTCTCTCTCTCTCTCTCTCTCTCTCTCTCTCTCTCTCTCTCTC